GCTGAATTTATTAACTAGATAACACTGTCTCTTTAAATTTCATTTTCTTAATAAAAACATGGGGTTTATAAGCTTCCCTGCATATCACGTACCTGTTTTATTTAAGGAAAAGTTTGTAACATATTTTGTAATCATTAACCAAAGGTATGTCAGAATTTCAATACACTTTAAGAAATTTAGTAAAATAACTTTTTACAAAATAACAATAATGCAAGATTAAGAATATGAATTAACAAATGTATTTTAAATGTCTATAATACACTTCCTCTCAATAGCAAATATCACTGAGTCTGATGCAAAGGCAACATTCAGTCACAAATCTACACCATCAGCCTACTGACCAACAGACTATGGGTAAAAGTTGAATTTTAAGGAGAATGAATACCTGTAGCACAACTGTAATATAGAATTCAAACTAAAAACACACATCAGACTAATATATCTAAAATATACAGACTTAATTCTTAAATACATCTAACTAGTTTAAATAAATCCTACCACAATCCTCAAACAACCTTTAGTTGAATTAAGATGGTACTATGTATTAAACTGAGTTAGAAGTACCTTGGGGTTTTTTTTAAATGAAACTAGTCTGCTATAATCAAGGATTACTGAAATCTAAAACTGCATTTCAGAAGGCCAGGGAGAAAACTTATTTTAATGTAACTGTTACACAAATTATATCCACTGATGATGATGATGTCAGGAATCAGGTTTCTGGGTGGCGCAGGTCAGCGCACACAGCAAGTCACCTACACAGCAAAAACAGACTCCGTGCAACGCAAAGAGAAACCACTTACACAGTAACTGCTCAGACTTTGCTGCATGCTCCCTGATAAATACACACTCCATCTGCAACATCCCCAGTGCACCACACCACCTATGGTGGCAGCTGGGTGGGAGCCTGGAGAGCTGAGCAGCGATACCTTTAAACAGCACTCAGCTCCAGTCACTGAAAATTGTGTCTTATCTACATTTCATGTTAGGCGGATACCCAGTTGCTACTGATGACAGGGAAGATTTTTTTTTTATTATTCTCCAAGTATGCAAGAGAATAACTTGAGAAAACTCCCACATGATATTTTAACAGACTGCTTGTTTAAGTTGAAAAAGTCACTTTCCAAAACAGGACTGTTATTTTGGACAAAACTAGCAACTGACTTACTAGCCGCGTACCTTAGGACAGTAAAAGTTAGTCTCAGTTGCCTGAGCTGCAGAAGCTGTGCTAGCAGAGTGAGTCCCCAGTGTTATTACTTTTACACAGAACTTTTTGCCTCAAGAGTTACCAGGTAGGGGCAAAATTTTCTTCCTCGTTCCTAACCAAGGAGGACATAGTGTTCTCATATAAAACAGACCAACCATGTCAGCACCTGGCAAAGACTGGCTTTGTTTAATGACTCCCTGCTTAAATTCATATTAGCTCATCAAAAATAAATCTTAATTCCGGTGCATTGGCATGTATCCATACCACAGAATGCTGGCAATAAATAAATAAACAAACAATTGATTCTATGTTGTATTAGCATCTAGCTATAGGAACTGAAAACAAATAATGCATATTACACGCATTTAGTGTAACATCAGGATCACACAGTTTAGTTGAAAAGTATTTAAAGGCAAAGTTTACTGAAATGGTCTAAGTTATTGGATACTCATTTAGCACTAAGAACATTCACACTGGGAGCCAGAAGGGCTGCTCTAACTTGGCCTTACTTACTGCCTTAATACTTTGCTTTTTTTTTTTTTTTAGATCAACATGGTCTTCAGAATTACCTTTATAAGCATTTAAAGAGAATGCTTCACTAAACATTAATGATGCATAGCTCGCTACACTTTTAACTCATTAAGTTCCTCGCTAATTTTAGCGACAAGCCCACACATCCCTGAAGATCGAGTGACGGTCCTATCCTTTTCAGTCCATTAATCTAAATGGTT